CTCAGTTCTAATTTCCTTTAGACATGTTGCAAGGAGGGGCTAGTCCTTGGAGCAGGATGCTTGGGAGGGTGGAGGAACAGCACAGGAAAGGAAGACCTTCTATGAGGTGGATTGATTCAGTGACTGGGGTAATTGGGGTAGTTGTGTCAGAGACAGTAAGACTGGCACAGGATAGAGCAGAGTTTAGGGCTGTTGTACACAGGGTCGCTATGAGTCACAGGTGACTCGACGGCACATAACAATAACAACAACATATTCCTATTTAGCCAAATAACTCCACTAAATATGCCTTCTATTTGAAGTATATAAAATCATGTTACTGACTGGGCCTTGACTGACAAATATGAGAAGACTGGAAGCAAGAAAGACAAGAATGAGTCAGTTATTTATTCCCTAGTGAATCAGGGTTCCTGCCATTAAGGGAGTGAAAGAGGTAGAAGAAATGCAGATCAAGAAAGGGAGTAAATGTAACATACCTTTGGTAAGCAAGTGTTTTAAGCAGGAGTGGTATCCACTTCCTGAAGAACTTGCCTCCAGAAACTCTATGAACGTCGATAAATGTCGATAGCTGTATAGGGAATTCAGTTGTTCATAGGGTCTCTATGAGTTGTACTCGACTCAAAGGCAATCAACAACAACACAACAAAGCCTTACAAATGTGAAAAATAAGGCTCAAAGAATCTACTTACTGAAGATATCATTGCTCATATGTGGAAGACATAACTTACATTATATATAGAGAGGATACAATCTTGTTTGCAGAAAGTGAGAAGGACTTGAAGTGCTTGCTGTAGAAAATCAGGAAATGAAGCCTTCACTATGAATTACATCGTAATATCAAGAAAACAAAAATCCTCACCTCTGGACCTATAGGCAACGTCATGATAGATGGAGAAGAGATGGAACCTGTCAACAACTTCACCTTTCTTGGCTCCACAATCCATACCTTTGGTATTAGCAGTGAGGAAATCCGATGTACTGCACTGGAAACGTCTGCAGTCTGAGGCCTTTCCAAATATTGAGAAGCATTGATGTCAATTTGATGACTAACATTAACTTAATTCAGGCCATGATCACAGTGAATAAGGGTGACAGAATAATTTGTGCCTTTGAACTGGGATGCTGGAGAAGAGTACTGAATATCCCATGGACAGCCAAAAGACCAAACGGATAAGTCTTGGAAAGGGTGAGGCCGGAGTGGTCCTCAAAGTCAAGGATGTCAAAACTTCATCTCACAAACTTTGGCCATGTTTTTAGGAGGAATTATTTTTTAAAGCAGGAGTGGCATCTACTCCCTAAACAACATGTCTCTATGAACTTTGATAAATGTCAATAGTTGTAGAGGGGCTTCAGGCCTTTTGTTCACAGGGTCACTGCAAGTTATACTCAACTCGACAGCAATTAATAACAACAACATTTCTTGGAAAGGAACACCATGCTTAGAAAGATGTCATGTCAGTGAACGAGAGGAAGATCCTCAGTGAGATGCATAGACACAGTGACGGTAACAAGAGCCTTAAGTGTGTGAGAAGTGATGAGGGTGACATAGGATGGAACAGCGTTCAGATCTGTTGTTCTAGGGTTGCTATGAGTCAAACTCAACTCGATGATACACAACAACAATAACAACATATTTCCCTGAATATTACCTTTTACTTTTTTTATTCTCAATGTCACTTAATGGCACCATATATTATCTTTCCTCATTTGGGTACCCCAACCAATTACCCTAAGCCCTGTTCTCTATCTTGGGTTTCATGTTAAATCAGATGCCGAGTCCTGTTAAATCAGCATTCAAAGTCCCTCCCAAATTTTCCTGCAGTTGCTCATCCATTCATCACTAGAGTGACACATAAACTGTCTAGAGCTGGCACTGGGGATACAGCAATGAACCATACAAGCCAAAGGAGTCTAACTGTATTGGTTCTTTCTCATGAATAAGGCCCATGTCCTTTCTCACGTAGGTCACATTAATCTTTTCCTGTGGAGATTATCTTTCTATTTCTCATTTCCCCACCAATAATATCTATTCTGACCCCGGAATGAATTTATGTCCCTTTCCTCCCTAAAACCTTTCAGTAGCTAATATTTTCTTTAACACATTTTCTACATGAGAACCATCCAGGGGGATGAGTGAAGGGAAGGTCAATGTGGAGTATGTGGAGAATCAGACATTCTGTGCATGGTAATTAGTGCTGTGGAAGAGAACGAAGGTGCATAAATGAGTAAGTGATTGGGGGAGGGACGGGGTGGAAACCTGAACACTATGCTTCGTAAACTTTCATCCACATAACAATATTAAAAAAGACATTGAGAGAGGGGGGAGGGAGGGGGGAAGGGAGGGAGGAAGGAAGGAAGGAAGGAAGGAAGGAAGGAAGGAAAATGCATTGGAGTGGCACACAGAATCACCACTGTCTTGTCTTTGCAGCATTTACCTACAGACTCGAGGAATTCTCTCAGATGTTACATATTCTCTGCTGAGAACACCTTGTCCCTACTTACCATCCTACTTAAGCATTACTCATCTTTGAAAGGGGCAACCATCACTCAGTAGCAGAACTCTGACTTCCCATGCAAAAGACCTACTTCAATTTCCTGTCCAGTCACCCCATGCACTGCCACGACTGTCTGCCACTGCAAGTGCGCATATTGCTATGATGCTGAACACGTTTCAGCAGAACTTCTACACTAAAACAGTCATGGAAGAAATCCTGGTGATCTGCTAGATCATGGGTAACCATGTAGAATGACATATGGCACTGTCTAGAACTGACATTGAGGATACAGCAGGGCATCTGGACCTCAACTGATCCTGGGGACAGTGCAGGAGTGGGAAGTCTTTAGTTTTGCTATACAGGGGAGAGGTGGGAAGGGGGCAACTCCACAATAGTTAACATCTTCCAAAACTAAAAAAAAAAATATATAAAAAAAATCCTTTCCTCCTCTGGATTCTATTCTCTGAGTGTGCCTCATACCTGGTGCTCCTCGCCCTGATTCCTGTTCTCCATTCCCATAACACCCAGTGCATACCTGAAGCATAGGATCATAGCACTTATCAGACTAGGAGGTAAATGTACTGTCTCTTCCACTGTGGAGTGACTTCCTGGAGGGCAGGGAGAGGTACTGGTTCACGCTCAGCCTCCGGTGTATGTCCTGAACTCAGCACACAGCACATCCTCAGTACACATAAGAATGGTTCAGCACATTGTTTTGAAACTGTGAAGTAACACTCTACCATGTTACAGCGTGAAAAGATTATTGTTTCACTATTTGCAAACTCTTATTCTTTGCTCTCCATTCATATGAAAAAATGGAGATTCTGCATTTGCACACTCAGCTAATAGACTAATTATTCCGTTTTCCTCAGCTATTACGGTAAACCACTTAATAAAGACTAAAGTTGAGTACATGGGTGGAGAAGGCCAGCCAGCGAGAGTTCATCTACGACCTGTAAAATAGCCACAACAAATTCCCCAACTTAATAAAGCATACATACCAGACCTCGAGTGTAAAACACAAGCAAGCCCTCACCGTGAACCACACTGTACCAAATTCCAAAGTAAACAAAACCCAGTGAACTGAGCTACGACCTTTCTCAGGGCCATGTTTTCCTTACAGTATGGTTAGAACTGAACAACAAAACAATTATTTGCATGTTATGCAGGTCACTGTAAGTTTGAAGTAACAGGATAGGCATCCCGTCTCAGTACTTGCCAAAGAGCAAATCCCTCTAGAAGAGAAAAGCCTTCTCAGATCTGCATGACGAATAACCTGATAGTTTATAAGCAGGACCTAAAAGTACAGCTTTGCCCCATACAACTTTTCAATGGCCATGTGCCAGGAGAAATGAACTGATTTACCAAGTCCTTCCCATGACTGGAATCCTGTGGTAGTACAGTCAGGAGCACTGGAAGTGTTTAGGCAGGTTCACACTGAGTAATACATTTAGGTGGTGCAAGCATTAGAATGGGGAGTTTTGCCCATATTAAGACAAGCCTCCTATAGCTATTGACACTTAATAACCGAGGTCTGTTTACACAGAGCACTCCAGGTTTCTGTGTCTGAGTGGCCCAGTTTGAGTTCATCTAACCTAAAGGTTGGCTTGTTCACACACACTCAAAAGTACCGTGGAAGAAAGGACTGGTTTTCGGTTAGTATGATGACTGTAGCCAAGTGAACCATGTGGGATGTAGACTGTAACACATGGGACTCCCATGAGCGGATATCCTCTTTATACAGTTTTGGGGTATTTAATTTACACAAGATTACTCCAGTTTTCAGCTCTAAATTCACCTAATTTTGGAAAATACAGTCTAGAAATTATTTTTTGGTAAAAATAAGGAAAAAGGAAAAAAGAACCCACCAAAAATCTTCAAACTCACTGCTGTCAGCTTGGTTGCAACTCTATCACCAGTCTCTGTTGGGATTCCAAAGCTGTGAATTGCCCGAGAGGAAACTGCCTACTTTTCTCCCAGGAGGCCATGGGTGGATTGGAGACACCTGAGACCCCCGGCCTTGGGGTTAACAGCACAGCTTTCTAGGGACTACACCACATCTCCCTTTGCATTTAGAAAAAGGCTTGTATTTTAGTTGTTACAAGAATGGCATTTTTATTCTATTCTCACAAGCTAGATATACCCAGAAAGTTTGTTTCTTATCAATTGTTGTTGTTGCTATGTGCTGTTGAGCCATAACTGATCCATAACGGACCCTCTAGTGAGTTTTCAGAAGCAGGAGATTGCTCATCTAAATCACATGGATGACCTAATTGCTGATCTTTCTCCTGCAGAACAGCTGGGGGATTTGAACCACATACCTTTACACTGGCAGCACATTTCCTTACCACACAGCTACCAGAGTTCCCTTATCAATTACAATTAGAAAAAATAAAGTTCTAACTTTGTACATGTGTCTCTTTACTCACATCAGGCCACACGGTGCCAAGAAACCCTTATTTGAGCTCTGTGATGCGGTGGCGTGCCATGAACACAGGAGACCAGTTTCTGCTTTTCCAGACTCTTTATTGCCAACAATTTAAAATGGTCAACATAAAAAAAAAAGTAATAAATACTGCTCTTTGGGCTGTAATAAATAAAAAGTTTATTAACAAGGAATGCACTTTTCCAGCCACAAATGTCTTGAAAAATTAACGAGGGGGGGGTGAAAAATTAGGTATGGCCATAGTTCACAGTTGGGCAGCCAAAAGCTGCTCTGATTACAGCCTTTAAACGACGTGGGCGCTTCCTCCCTTCTCCCTCCCCTTTGGGAAGTTTATTCACAGTTCTAAGTCCTCTATCTGAAATGCTCTCTACAGAGAGGAGTTAAGAGTCAATGCACAATTTTCTGAACAACCTTTGAAGCAGGTATATTGAGGAAAACAGCATCCTCGTTCATCCTTGGATTCGTCCAAAGTCAAGAACTGTATGCTTCACCCTGCTCTGGTCTCCTCAGTGAAGCGGGCCACTGAGGCCGAGTTTTCGTACCACCGCCTGTCCTTCTTCTTCAACGTGCTGTGGGTCGTTCTACTGGCTTCCTGGTAGGCCTCACAGTGGAAAAGAGGCGTCCCATAGGGTCCATTCAAAGTGTCCTTTAATTACATCTCTGTAAGAGCATGTTGAGGGCATATTCCATACGGTTTTTCAATTCTGCTGAACAGCCAGACATCAGCAGAGTCGTCAGCCTGAACGTCGTTGATATCCTGTCTTCATTGATGTATGTGAGCAGGTATTCTTCATTTTGGCTACAGATGATTATTTTTGTGTGATCATGATAGAAATTTACCTTCAAATCAGAAATACAGAAGTTAAGTCTCTCCAACAAAGTCATGAACATATTATATTCATTAAAGTAGGGTCTAAGAAGTCATGAACATATTACATTGATGAAAATAGAGTCTAATAATTACAAGGGCCAGGTGGCCATGACTTTTCAGGAAATACACCCTCGCTTTCTTGAAAGATTCATTTACCTGAAAGGTGCCATCATTGAAGAGCATCATTAAGGCTTTGTCAGACTTGAGCCACTGAAGGAGGTAGAGCCGAGGTCTTCGGATGTCAGTGACACTGGGCAGATCTCCACCCTGGAGGAGATGAAGAATGTTAGCGGATGCCAAGAAAGATTGTGCTGCACGTGCTCAGTTCTTCTAATAAATACGTCTTAAACTTTAGGGAGCATCAGAATTACTTGACTATTCAGGGCCCCACCTCCCCTGTTTAAGTCCATACTCTGATTGTGAGACTTTGCCCATTTAACTAGCTTCAAGGTAATGCAGATGCTACTGGATTATCTAGCCTACACTCCAAGCACCACTGGTCCTACAGTCTCCACACTTACATCCATGAGGTTCTCCTCCATGTAATGAGAGAAGTATTTCAGCACCGTCACTTGGCTAATGAATTGTTCAGGGGCATCTGTTGCTGGGAAAACCGAGCACTGGCCGAGCTCCGCATAATAGTGAACGGTTCTAAGAAGAGGAAGATGTGGAAGTTAGTCACCCTTGGCCAGATGGCTTCAGTCCCATGCCCAGAGGCTAACAGGATTCCATTCACTGGACATACTTACTTTTTGTCAGGCAGGAGACTCATGTGAGCACCGTTGTTGAAAAGGACGCCGACGGTGTGGTCCGAGAGCTGGTACCCAAAGCCATACTTGTTAGAGTAATCGACCCATTTGGTGACCCACTGGAATGATGTGCTCAGCTGCTCTTTGGGGATGCTGTCGGCTTCTGGCATGTTCTCCAGACATCCTCGAAGGACCCTGGCCACTGTGTCCGCAACACTGCCCATGGTGCTGTCCTCCAGGCCTGAAAGAAAAATCAGAGGAAAATGTAAATTTTGCTTGCTTTTTTTCCCCCCCATGTGGAATCAGGCTGCAAAATAAAGTGACGCCAGTTACTTGGTATTTAGCACTGGCATTTATAGTTTGGTGATTTAAAAAAAGAATGACAGCCACTTACATTCACTGCTACTGCTGCAGCTGCCAAGAGTCCCTCTGACTATCATGCGGATAGCATCCCCGATCTGCTGCTTGTTTTCCACTGCGGGTGTTCCAGATCTGGCCACTGTGGTGGCGGGTGGCTGCAGCTCCTTACAAGAGAGCAGAATCATGAGTTAGTCAAGCACCTGGAAGGCTGAGAACTGGAGGGTGAGAGCAGATTGAGGTCAACTTCTGGGAAAGCTTATCAGAAAGCAAGGAATACAGCCAGGTAAAAGATAGTGCAATAGCTCAAAGACATGCATCCCTAATCAAACAGATACAGGCCTTCAAAGGGTGGGAGAGGGGCTTTAAGGAAATAAGACATGCCTGGATCAAGGTAATCAGAACCAGGGTGATAATTAACCAAGAATGGAAATGATAGAAAGTGTTTATTCCTTAATATGCTTTCCTAACATACCTCATCTGTCCTATGTTTGCTGGGCTGTTGGGTTATTGAAGTCTTTTTCAAGTCATGTCTAAGTTTGTAAATGTCTTCATCTTCTTTAGACACTCTATCTGTAAGTCAAGGAGAAGAATTATGAGCGTTTCTCTATTTCCATCAAGGTGGGGACAGAGCTAGCCATATTTCTTCCTTTTGCATTATTAAGCAGCTTCTGAGCATCCAAGGCCAAAACCGTATTTTATCATTGCCATCAGCTGCAGTTATGCAAGAAGCAGTACACTAATGTCCAAGAAACTAAAAGCTATCAATCACAAAAAATTTCTAGTACAGATCTGTTACACAATAACAAATATCAAGGTTCAAAAGAATACAAACATACTATTATAACATAGCTAGATTTTATACAACATAGCTAGATTTTGCTAATGTAATAGCTTCTAAGAACTAACCCCAGTGCATTTAAATATAACATGGAAGATATAAAGGAGAAGTCGTGCAACTTACTATGTGTGTCAATATATCTGGCTTTGTCTTTTTTGCCACCAAAGAGAGCAGCAGCAGCTTTCTTGAAGAAGTTCTTTGCTGGGCTTGATAAATGGAAGTCGGGGACTGTATGACAACAGCTAGAAGAAAGTCGGTCTGGCGTGAAGCCCTGTGGAGTATCATAAAAAAAGCTGTTAGAATCCTTTTGTTTACACAGGACCTGGAGCCTGTCCGAGAAAGCCATAACAGAGGTCACCGACCTGCAGAAAGAAGTCATGCCGAATGATGTCATCCAAAGTGGGACGATCTTCTGGATTTTTGGACAGCATGCTGGCTATCAAGTGCTTGGCAGGAGCTAGCAGGGAAGACGGCATTGTATACCTTGCTTCTCTTATACATCTATAGGTTTCTTTCAGATTTGTGGTTTCAAATGGAGGTCTTCCTAGTAACATTGTATACCTGTGTGTTAAAAAGACACTTTTTTTAAGCTGTTACAAAACAAGTCTTCTCAAGACTGAAAATGTCAATCTAAGTGTGCTTTTCCATTTATTCTAGTGTCTTTACTTACATTACGCAGCCTAAGGCCCAAATGTCTGATTCACAGCCATGTCCCTGTTTGTTGAGGACTTCAGGAGAGAGATAATTTGGAGTACCACATATTGTTCTGGAAGGACAAAATTTTAAAAAATCATATTAGGAACTACTGAACTCTTTCAATTTAGTTCTTTAAATGTGACTTGATGGGAAATAGCACTTGGAAAGTACAATGCTGTTTTTCACCTTTGAAAGCTTTAATCTCAAAGCAGCTTTTGGTGATTTTTAAATTTTCTTTTTTTAATTTTCTTTTTTTCAGCCCACATGACAGTGTTTTTTGCCAACATGATTTGCAACATGGCATTCATATATATTTAATGCAAACATAAGATAGACTGTTTACATTGTGAACGTATAAAAGTAAAGTACACTGCCTGAGCATATAGCATTGTTGTTAATGTGCCCAGTGAATTCTGACTCTTAATAACCTTAGTCATTGCTATGTGGACTGTTACTAGTCTTAGTGACCCTGAAGGACAGCCTAGAACTGCCCAATTGCTCCCAAGGCTGTAAAGCTCTTACAGAAGCAGTCTTTCTCTTCCATCTTTCACTCCTGGAGTGGCTGCAGAGTTTGAACTGCTGCTGACCCTTTGGTTGGTAGCTTAATCACTGTGCACTAGGGCTTCTCAGCAGCACTTGATACATGCCTCCTTAAATAAACATTGCTGTGTTTCTCGATTTCAATGTCTCAGACACATAAATTGGAAATTTTATCAGGGCATATTTAATCACTTTTCCCACAAAACTCTAGCTGACTCTTACCTCCTTCTATGTTCCAAGGGTTCCAGCCTGGCAGCCAAGCCAAAGTCTCCAACTTTTAGCTCCATGGCTTCATTGATAAAAAAGTTTCCTAGATGGCAAACAAAAGGGAACATGAATCCCTTTGAACAGGTGTTGAGACATTGTCATTCACTCAGGAGGCAGCCAGCCAGTTGTATTAAATCATCCATTCAAAAGCAAGACAGAATAGGACAGATCCCAATTAAGAACAATGGGAGTTTCAAAACAAAACACACAAAAAAGGATGGGAAATAAAACACCTCTTTCTAGGATAACATCCTTTAGGATAATAAAAGGTTTACCTAGTTTGAGATCTCGGTGCAAGATTTCTTGTTCATGTAGGTACTTGAGTCCTGACACAATCTGCCTGAGGTAGTATCGAACTTCTGGCTCCGTCAACACCTTTCTAGCTTTCAAGATATGTGCCATGGACTAGAAAGAAGAGAGAAAGAGAGCTGTCAGACTAAGTTATTAAAATCCATTTCCCTTTGCAGGGCAAGTGATGAGAGTTGAGGCTGCAGTGTTACTGCCACCAGAGCTAAAATCCCAGATCTAATGTAACCAGAATACCATGGCAGCTTTAGGGAAGTACATGAGCTCAAACCAGAGGTATCACGTACCCTTCTGCTGCAGTACTCCAGGAGGATGTAAATGTTTTCTTTATCCTCAAAGTAGTGATAAAACTGCACCACATGCTTATGGTGGAGAATTCGGTGAAGCTCTATTTCTTTGTCAATCTGAAAGAAAAAGCAAGCAGAGGCTGATTCGTCTTCTGCCACCTCTGAGCAGCCAGTGCTTACACATGCAAAAGACATTCTCCTGACAGGGAAGGGCCATCCCTGCACACAAAGAAAATACTTTACTCAACAGTCATACGCACCTTTTCCCTTTGATGAGGCTTAGCTACTCTGCTGTGAGGAATAATTTTTGCAGCATAGACTTTGTTATTTGTCAAATCTGTCATCTCATAACATTTTGCAAAGCCACCCTG